CTAATTATATTTTAGATTTTTTATATTTAAAATAAGATGTTTATTTTGTATTTGATTATGTTTATCTGCAATTAGTTACACGAATTCAGATATGAAGCTTTAATAAGTTGTACTTACATACAATCTACTTGTAATCTTAGTTTTAAGTAATATGCATTAATAAACAGTACTTTACGCATAAAAAGTAGTTTTTAAGAGTTTTTGTCAAATGATTTATAATATAGTATAAATTATTTTTTTATATAATTTAGTTTAAGTTTAATAATGAAATAATTTATTTTTGGTTTAATAATATAACATTTTATAAAGATAATAATTAAGTATTCTGTCAGAACTAAATGATTATCCAAATTATATTTTAGATTATTTATATTTAAAATGAGATGTTTATTCTGTATTTGATTGTGTTTATCTGCAGTTAGTTACACGAATTCAGATATGGAGTTTTAATAAGTTGTACCTACGCACAATTTATTTGTAATCTTGAGTTTTAAGTAATATGAATTAATAAACAGTACTTTATGCATAAAAAGTGGTTTTTAAGAGTTTTTGTCAAATGATTTATAATATAAAATATCTTATATATATATATATATATATAATTTAAGTTTATTAATAAAATAATTTATTTTTGGTTTAATATTACAAATTTTATAAAGATAATAATTAAGTATTCTATTAGAATTTAATGATTATACTAATTATATTTTAGATTGTTTATATTTAAAATGAGATGTTTATCCTGTATTTGATTGTATTTATCTGCAGTTAGTTACACAAATTCATATATGGGATTAAATCGGATAATGATGAAATCGTTTAGGGATGAACGAGTTTAAGAGTTTGTAAGAGTTTTAAAAGTTTTAGCCAAATGCTTTATAAGATAGTATAGATAATTTAAAACACATTGTTATAATAATAATAATAATAAAAAATAATGTCATAATAAATTTTTTTATGAAAATGAGTTGGGATTTCATTCGTTTAAAAAAAAAAAATAGATATGGTCGGTCCATTTTGTTAGCCCCGGTCCACTACCTGCTTACATGTTAAAACTAGGGTTTGAAACGCTTCCATTCTTTCGATCTCTCTTTCTGTAATTTCATGGCGAAGAACAGGAACAAGAGTAAGAAGAAAGCTTCTACGTCCATGAACATCGACGAGGCCGCCATTGTTGCACCTCAAGGTATGTAACCGTCTATCTCTGTATATCTGATTGTATTGTGGTGTGTATGTGGCCGTGTTCCTTTTCACATGTTCACAGTTAAAAGGGTTAACTGGAATTGATGTATCCATTAAAACTCTTTGTAGTTACAGCGATGGACACGTCGGAGGTTGTAGCTTCTAGTCGATCTCAAATTAGCAGGTCAGAATTAATATTGGCTTCTTTATGACTTAAGTAATGTTTTAGCTACAGTCTGTCGGTAGTCATCGTTCGAAATATGAGCCAGGGCCTGTTTGTCAGCAGCTTAATGGTCTTGTATAAGACCTAAAACTTATTTGGTTAGCTATATATGAACTCTTTGGTAGTGGCTTAATGATATAGAAATAAGCTTATAGAGGCGAGCTTTATGCAGAAAGTCAAGCTTTTTTTTTCCTTCCAAATACGCTAATTCCAGTTAAAAACTCACTAATTCCATCATAAAAAACCTCGCCTAACAAAAACACTCTCAATCTATACAAACAGATTAATCCATACAATCAACTTTATTCATACTAGACTTGATGAAAACCAACCAAACAACCCCTTAGTCTTAAATTTTCACTCGAGTCATAGAATTGACTATTGTGTTGTCGACATTGTCTCTTAGAAATGGTCTTTTTTGGGAGTTTAGATAATTCCGAAAACAAATTTCAAATATATACATACACATGCAATACGCTTAACTAGTTTAAGCTTTTTGTGATAAGCATTATGTTTGTGCGTTAATGGTTCAATATGGAGGTGGATGCAATTACATGATGGTTTTCTACCTTTTGGCTAGGCTAATAAAACTTACAGTTAGTAAGAATTTTGAGATCTATAGGGAAAAAGGTTGCAAACTAGCGTTAAGTGAAATAAACAGAAACCTTGTGATGTTATATTTGTCATATGGTGTGCCATAAATACGTGATCCTTGGCCTTTCGGTGAAGAATGAGAATTTTGTGGGTTATCTGATGGATGAGAGTCCCATCAGTCATTGTTTGCAAGACAAAAGGGAAAATTCATAAATGGTTGGTCTTAGGACAGAACTTTGATGCATAAGTGAAATATGGTGCAAGAATAGTCATCTAGTTGGATTTTTAATGGTAGCATTGACAACACTTGCACCTAGGAGGAAATTTCACTTGAATGTCTTATCTTGGATTTAACCGTCTGTGGGTTGCAATTTATGTTATAAGCCATGCATTGATGGTTTTTTGGGCATGACTTGTGTTCTAAACACATAATTGATTGTACATTTCTTTGTCATCTTCATGTTGTCCTTTTGGGTTGGAGGTACCGATGTATGTATCTTTTGGCTGTCCAAGTTCACTCACCATTGACTAAATGCCACATGTACGATAATTTCCAGTGGCTTTGTCATTATGTGGGATATGTTTTACCTACATTTTATTACTCTAGATAAGTTATAAGTACAATGTATATACACACATATATAAATATCATGGATGATACTCTTAGAGGGTGTTTGGTTTGATGGAATAGTTTGGAGGGATTTAGATTTCGTGGAAGGATTTGCAGTTGGAGGGATTTGGATTTCGTGGAAGGATTTGCAGTTGGAGGGATTAGGATTTGGAATATTTAGTGTGTTCGATTATTTGGATTTGGAATATTCAGTGTGTTCGATTATTAGGATTTGGAATGGAGTTGAATTCCATTCTTTATAGATAATTTGTAAAAACAAATTACAAATAACTATATTAATTGCTAATTGAAAACATACATTTTTAACATATTCTAAAGCATAATTATTTACAAATCGTTCGAAATCCCTTGAAATCCCAACCACCCCCATGGGATTTCAAAATCCTATGTTTGAAGGATTTCAAATCCGAGCAATTTTGCAAACCAAACAAAGAGGTTGCAATGGATTTGAATTCCAAATCCCCCAAATCCTTTCCATTCTTGCAAACCAAACGGGACCTTAGAAGTTAATTCATAAGGCACATCGACTTGTTGAATTTGTTTATTTTTCAAATCAACTCTTGCTATAATCCTAGGGTTAACTCGTAAATTGTGGCATGGTTGTGGTTGTAAAAATATCTGCTTTTCAAAAGCAACTCAAGCACTCATTTGAGGGGATACTTTACAAACAGTGGCGTGGTTGTCTGCATGAGCATATTCGACATTTGTCATATATAAAGTGAATAAAAAAGGCAAAAGGACATTTTCCAACTAAAATCACAAAAACATAATATGAAAGATGATGCTTGTTGTCGTGCTTTTGCCAATATTTGGTATTACTTTTATCTACACCCACGTCCCAATGGTGGCGGTCGTGGTATTGAGGACCTATGGCGTGTACTATACTGTTACAACGGTGAAAATCTGAAAAAATGGTGTAGACCGTGATTTGATATAGCGGTTATCACGATGGTAAAACGGTGATATGGTAGTCCACAAACCGAGGTTCATGTAATAGTTACAATTAAATGTATGTATGTATTGTAACATATTATATATGGAAGATGTATAGAAGAACGTGAATAGAAGAGATGGCGAGCAAATGATGTTGGAAGATGATGTTGTTGTGAAAAGAAGATGCAAAAGAGTAGAAAACGATGCACAATGCCGGAATAGAAGTGATGAGAGGAATAACGAGTTTACACACCGATATTGCAAGTCAAAATCAGCCAATAGCTTGTAATTCCTTAATTGACTTCTGTAAACCCTTTAAAAGGCCAACTGAAAGCCCAACCCCTAATTGCGGGTTTTCTCACCGCTTTTGCAAATCAATGCGGCACAATTGCGGTGCTTAGCTAATTTTTTAAGGATCGCTAATCGTTATAGCATTGCAATTAATAACATAGGGCATGTAGTGTTCGAGAGAACCAACACATTACTTAAAGAACTATGTGTCACAATACGAAAACGCTAACAAAAATCTTAAGGGTGGTGTTGTCAACAACAGACGGCGAAAACTAAATGATGATGTGTCTAGCAAGGAGGAAGAGGATCGTGTTGACAACCGGCGTAACAGTACCAATCGAACAACTACAACAAAGGCTATTGCGTCAAGGCTGATATTCTAACTTCCATGTCAATCTTGAACTTGAAGTTGTGCGTCTGGTTGCAGGTGAAGATTATGGCATACATGCTTCGTGGAAAAGCTAGTGCCTGCTCGATGGAAATATGTTGACGATCAACCAGGGCGCTAAGGAAGGAACGCGTGTCAAATTGGCGACACATGAAAGAGATGTCGAGGAGTAGATTCTTGTTACCGGACTATGAGTAGATACTTTGAGAATAGTATCACAACTGTGCTCAAGGAGACAAGGCGTGTCTGAACGCATGTGAGAGTTCTTGTGGTAGAGGATTAGATGCCTTCTATCGGAGATGGAGGAACAAGCGGCTTGGTACATGAACAGACTTAGGTATGCCATCTATGATTCTATGGGACTACGACCCGTGTGGTTCGTTGATCAAGCTCATAAGCTAGCCTTGAAAACGGAGAGGCTAATGTCTAGGCCCATGAACAACCCTCTACTCACAATAGGTGATATGAGCCATCTCGGAAAACAAGCGACTCAATGTACTCCAAGTCTATTCAACAATAGAGATCAACCATCCACAAATCAAAGGACCACCAATACAACTGTGGGTAGTGGTGGAAGTACGACCAACACCAAGTTGCTAACACCACCAACAATCCTCATGCCAAGGCCGATAGACTGAAGTGTTACCCATGCGGTCAAGGCCGACCCTAGCTATAGGCTCAAAGGGCGACGACCCAAGGCAACAAATAACCTAAGGGCATCACTTTCTGAAGCCCATTTATACATAGGTATGTTCATTTTGGGCCCTGAAAAAATTACCGTTAGTAATCTGTATATAGAGCAAGGGCCAAAGGGCGTCGACCAAACAAACTCGTTCTATCGACTGTCGCTCATCTCTCTCGGCCTCGGTTCAAGAACGAACGAACTTTCGAGTCCTGACCTCGCTCTGGGTCTCGTTTCTGACTTTCTGTTTCCGAGTTCTGAGACCTCTCGCTCTCGGCCTCTCGCTCGCCTTTCGCTCTTGACCTCGTTTCTAGAACTGGTTGTGAGGTTATCTCGTGTCTCGGTCTTGACAGCTCGATCTTGTTTCTGGAATCTGGAACTGGAAGTCCGGAACTCGCTCTATGCCTCTATCGCTCATCTCTGTTTTGTTTGGTAAAATTCTAAATTTTTTATTTCTAATTTTTACTGTTTAGTTTAGTCTGTTTAGATTAGGGTTATTTTATGATTTACTTATTTTGTTTTTTATTTACTGTTTACTTGGTTTAGATTAGGGTTATTTTGTTTTATGTTTACTGTTTACTTAATTTAGATTAGGGTTATTTTGTTTAATTGTTTAGTTAGGTTAGGGATATTTAACTTATGTTGTTCAGTTTAGGTTTACCCAAATTCTTGTTTTATCATTTATGTTTACTGTTTAGTTTAGTTTAGATTAGGGTTAGAAAAGACAAGAAGAAATTGCTCAATCTTTGCAAAGATCTCTAAATAAGTTTATTGTTAGACAACCAAGGTTGACATGAGTAGTTAGTAATTTACCAATCTAGCCTTATCTGCCTGATTCTTGTTCCACCTATTTTGGTGGGACAAGAAAAAATGCATTTTGTGTCACTGTCTAATGTCGCACCAAACGTGGGACAACAAGTTTTTGTGATGTTCTGTCCCCAAACACACCCAGAGGGACGCAAAACATGTATCTCTTGACCTGGGTCTTGGGCAGGCAGGCAGCAAAGAAAATTGCAGTCCTACCAACTACTACGTTCATGGGTTCAATGTAGAGACCAAGGTGTCGGGAGCAACATTGGTTAAGGTGCATAAAGTGAGTGAGGACATTCGTGATCAAGCGAAGCCACTACTACAAGAATTCAAGAATATGATTATTGAAGAAGCTCCCAATACGTTGCCACCCCTACGGAACATCCAACACCAGATTGAAATAATTTTATTTGAAAGAAACCCAAATTAAAAATAAATATGCAATAATTTTATTTAATTATCTGTAACTAATAATCAAATCACATGAAATTGGTGTTTTTTATATTTCACGCCTCTGTTTGGCAATAAATAATTATTTGTAGTCTTCCGTTCTCAATTTCGTGATATTGGCACATGTTAATAATAGGAAGGTTCGTAGGTCTTAGCTTCTTAAGCTCTTCTTGTGGAATAAAATTTTCTATCCTCCGAAGCTTAAAATCAGCAACCTTTCTACTTATTCAGGAGTGATAATTCACATGTGGTTAGATAATAAGAGATTCTACAATGGCCCAGGGATCCAGTTTTAGCGTCCGAAAAATGTTTGCATTGTCATTGTGATTGTATCTTGAATGTAAATACGGGTTGGTTATTTTCAGACTTTTATCCTTTCACAAATATTGCAATTCCCGTGTTAAGATTGATCTACCTGTTAATAATAGGGACGTTGGATTTGAAGTCTAGTTTAGAGAATGCACCTGCACACTTTGCCCTTGAATTTAACTTGGCGGCTGTTTGGTTGATTTTCATTAAGTTCTATATACATAAAACTGTCTGTGTGGATTAATATGTTTGTATAGATTGGAAATGCTTTTGTTTTGGAGGGTTTTTTCATAGATGGAAGTAGCGTGTTCTTAAGAAGGTGTGTTTGGAAAAAAAAACTTGGCTTTCTGCATAAAGCTGACCCCTGGAAGCTTATTGGATAAACCACATTCTATATCATTAGGCTGTTACCAAACAATCATGTAGCTAAGCGAATAAGCTGCGAGTCCCATTAAGCTCCTGTTCCAAATTCTCATGTTCCATTCCTATCCACCAATCACATGAATACACATCATCAAAGAGATAATATGAACTTGGATAAAATAAATCTAAAATATATAAAAATCTGATTTGTCTTGGGGGCTGTTTACCAAACACTTAGTCGGGTAAGTGAACATCAAGTTACAATACCTTACCGGATGAATATGGTAAGGACCAAAAATCTTACCCGGTAAGAGCGAGACAAAGACCACGAGTCTTACCCGGTAAGTGAGGACGACGACTCTTACCATGGTAAGCGCTTACCAGGTAAATTGTTGTGTACGATACCGTTTTGGTGGACTAAAATCTTACCCGATAAGTAAACGATAGTGTTAAATTTACCGGTAATCCGTTTACCGGGTAAGTGTTTGATAAACGGCCCCTTAATTTCATTGGTTGGACAGGGATGAAATGCGTGATTTTGGGAGACCAGAATTTTTTATCCCAATTTTTACTGTGTGATTATTGTTTCTAAAAAGGGTATAGTCAAATGTTGACCTTATGGTATAAATAAAAGCTCCTTTTACAACCTCTTGTGCTTAAAAGTTCTCGCTTTTTCCCAGAAAACCGAAGGGAGTACAAATGAAGCGTACAAAAAACGTTAGAAGGCTAAAAGCCATTGCAAAAGCCGTGTCTCAAAACGAAAAGTCTGCAGCAAAGGTCGTGAAGAACGAAAGCAAGACGCTAAGAACTCAGTCGGCAAAAAAACTCTACGACTGAGATATAAAGCCGTTTGAGATCATAGTCGGATTTTTTTTGTTTACAGATCGAACTTAGACTAGAGTGCATCGTTTTATTGTATGTTTTGGTGGATAAACCGCTTCACTTCAATTTCGACAACGATTGATTTATTTTGTGCGATGATACAATTTTGCTGCAATTCTTCTCTTTAGTTTAAGGAAAAGATCGATTTATTCTGCGTTTTATTAACTGTGGCATCTCGAACTTCTGAGTTCTCTTCTTTCTTAATTCTAATTTTACTGAGAATTTCGATTCGGATTATAATTTAAACCCGATTCTATTCATAGCAATCCGCGTTATTATTGTCTGTATATCGAGTTTGAATGTTTCCATACATGTTTTAACTATTGGTTGATTTGTTAGGAAGTGGCGTTTTTGAAGTCATGACATAAAACGACAAATTTGTTTTTCATATCTATAATTATATATTTATATTATATAGACTTGGGATCATGTGAGACCAAAGGTTTTTCGTGAGACTCGTAAGACCAATTCTCAACCTTTGGATTAAATTTACAATCTGATAATCTGAATATTCATAAACGCCACGAGACTTCTTAATAATTACAAAATTGACACCTCGCAATTTAGGTCATTAGATCATTAACTTAAAAAAGTTGATCAATGAACATAAATTGGTCTTACGGGTCTCACGAAAAACTCTTGGTCTCACGTGAACCCAATCATTCATATCTATACTATATTATAATGCATTTGGCTAAAA